GATGATAAACAAGGACATTTAATTGACATTGGATTTGTAATCAGATTTTAGCCAAAATTTTACACTGTTACAACGTTGAGCGATAATTTTCTTTAATAATTTCTTTTTAATGATATTGTCGTCTAATCTTTAATCAAATTATTCATTATCTTCCTTTAATTATTGTACTTCTATCTTTATTCTTATTATTCTTAACATTATATTTATTTATCTCTTCCAAACGTTTCTTCTGAATATTATTTACGAATAGTATTTCTTATTATTCTTTAATATTTTTCTTTAAATCTTTCATTTATTTTTCCTTTGTATCATTGTGTTTAAATGTTCTTTAACTTTCTATTATAGTTTTTATTATTCCTTACAAGTTTCATTTCTTCATTACTTCATTAACATTTTTCTAAAATTATAGTTTATATACCAGCATAATAACTTTATTTATTTCCATAATTTATTGTTCAACAATTAATTATTTCAAACAAAAATATTCATTTTTATTTGTGTTAAAAGTTTATTTATTAAATTATTTTATTTTTTTATTCTTGAGAAATTGAACGATCTGGTTCCTTGAAGGAATCCTAAGCCTTTATATAATAAAATTCACTTCGTAATATTCGTTATATGATTTTTACTACATGATTTCCTATATATGATTTCTATATTTACTATTATTCCTAATTTTTCGTTGTTCATTACTAAATTCTGTATTGTATTTGTTTATTATTTATTGTTTACTGTTTACTATTTAATTTCATTCTGTTGTATTAATTCTTATTTACTTCTGAATTTGTTATATTACTTTTACTTCCGTTCTTCTTCTGATTTCCGTTTCGTTTATGATGTCATGTGTAAACTTATGTTATACAAGCTTTCATGTGATCCAGTTTGTCATTCTCATTGAGTGTGCCTTTGTATAACCTTCTTGCATCTCGTGTAACTTCTTCAATTTGTTATTTTTCAAATATTTTCCGTGTCTTTTTATAAGACCCTCCATTCGGTTGATTAATTATCCTTTTCCTTTGACCCTCCATTCGGTTAATTAATTATTCTTTTATTTTGGTAATTAAATTATCTGAATCATTTTCTTCCGTGATTTATCCGTCTCGTGTAATCTTCCTTTTCGGTTCGTAATTTATCTGAGTATTATTCTTTTCTCTTAATAAAATGATTATTTCTCTTTTAACATATGACTTTTCCTTGTGACTTTTTGCTGAATATTGTTGATCATTTCCTTTTGTATTGCTGCATCCTGATTAATGAAATTGTTGACTCTACAATGGGTTTCTAGGTGAGTCATATTCTACATTAGGAAAGGTCAATCTACATATTATCTTAAATGATAGCAAGAAGTATAAAAGCATACATACAGAATTCATAGTTACTGGATCGGATTGGTCTGATCAATTTTTTGAAATACTCTTGGGTTCACCATGGATGTGAAAAAATAGTGTAAGCTTGAATATGTGTAATTCGACTCTAACATTAGACGATAATTTTGTGATCCTATATTTAGCTAATAGTCAAATCTGAGCATGACTCAGTCCAACCAATAGTTCAGAATAGTGATCATAAACTTAGAGATTTTTTTTAATTAAAATATGATATTTTATCCTTAATCATAACAATGGGAACATTTGGAGATATATCTATAAGAGATACTATTAATTGGGTAGATCGGTCATCCCCTCTAAGCTCTCCAATTTTAGAACCTAATAAGAGCAAAGAAATTCTACCGCCAGTCTAGCAAGACTAATCAGTAAAAGTATATTCTGATGCAATAAAACAATATGCTTCAGAAATAGGTACAGGCTTGCAAAGTGAAGAGCTTAAAAAGGTTTTTTTTGATGGTTTATTACTCAGCAATAAAAAGGACACAATCAGATTTGGAACTGAAAGACCCTTCGATGAATTGGTTAAATACTTAGATAACAGCTTCTATTCTCTACAAGGACACTCATGGGGATTGGAGCAGGGCAATAATTCGGTAGAAGATTTTTATAAGAAGTACAAGGAGTATATAAAGCTTTCTAGATGGAATGAAAGTCAGAATAAAAATCAATTTATTCGTGGACTCTCATCTGCAAATCAGTTAGAAGTAAGATTATGTGGATTAGATCTTCCTTTAGATGAACTAGTAGATAGACTAGTTAAACTTGAAGCTTTAGAAAGTCATACTAACTAATTTATTTTATTTTTTCATTTGAAGATACAATATATAATATAGACTATTTATGGCGCAATCAAGAATTTTTATTATACCAGAACTATTAGAACAGATTTTACATTATTTAGTGATAGATAAATCTCTCTATCCTATTCTATATGTTTCCCGATTGTGGTATAGATGCAGTGTTCCTATCCTATGGAAGCGTATTGAGCTAAAGGGAAAAGACTTATATTCTGGGCAATCTCTTCTAAATGATTATAATTATTGTGCAAAGGATCATCCTCAATTTAATAAATTCATAAGGATAGAACGTACAAAGGATCTCTTACGATTAAAAAAATTCATAAAGCTAGTACATAGGAAGCAAAAGCCAGTTTATTGCTCAAATGTAACTCATCTCGAAATATCATACTACCATTCACTTTCAGATAAAAAAAATCATAAGCATTGTACATTCATGTCCAAATATAACCCATTTGAGTTTCATAAATAGCATGGGATTTAATAATAGAGCATTAGAACTGATAGCAGGTTCATATCTGAATCCGAAGTATCTCAATCTGTGTGATAATCAGTCAGGTGGCTTCAGGAGCTTTCATGCTTGAGAAGTAGATGATGGAGGTCTATGGAGAATCACAAAGTCATACCATAAATTAGAATATTTAAATATTGCCTATCATACAGAGATTACTGAATATTCAATTTGCGGTATTATTCATTCCTCTCCAAAGCTTCAGCATCTTGACATTACCTTTTGTGAAATTACTGATATAACAATCAAAGAAATTGCTAGATCATGTCTTAATTTAAAATATCTTAATCTGAAAGAGTATGATAATATTAGTAAAGAAACCGTAGATCAGCTAAATCCAAATACCTATGTCGAAAATTTCCGGGATCTGAATGAAATAAAGTGAGTGGTAGAGCTAATATCAACACAGCCTTTATTTGCTATTAGCACTCAGTTTCACTAGTCATTCCGACAACCTAATTTCAATATATTTATGACAGTCGATTCTGGTGCTAATCACCCTATTATAGCTATAAACAGACAATCACCGAGAAATTATTTTGATAGAATACTAGCTAATCAAGCAGAATGGTGGAACTCTACTGATCTAACTATTCTGGATCAGTGATCGCATAATTTCCCTGAAGGTGCTTTGTTATTTTTTCGATTAAAGATACAACATATATTATTTATGGCACATTTAAGTATTTTTATTATACCAGAACTATTAGAGCAGATTCTATATTTCCTAGCAGTAGATAAGATACTGTATCCCGCTCTATTTGTATTCCGATTGTGGTATAGATGCAGTGCTTTTATTCTATGGAAACATATTGAGCTAAAGGGGAATGACCTAAGATATAGTCATTATTTTCCAGAAGATTATAATTATTGTGCAAGAGATCGTACTCGATGGGAAAGATTTATAAAAGTAATGTGCGAAAAGCATAAGCCAGCTTATGTCCCAAATACAAATCATCTAGAAATTACTTTTTACCATTCACTTTCAGATAAAAAAATAAAAAGTATTGTGAAAACATTTCCGAATATAATTCATTTAGATTTTAAAAATAGTATAGGTTTTAGCGATAAATCACTATTTGTAATAGTGGAATCATATCCTAATTTGAGATATATTAATTTGTGGGATGCTCAAATAACTAATAAAGGTTTATATGCAATTGCGCGATCATGTTATAAATTAGAATATCTAAATATTTCTTACTGCAGAAATATTAGCGATAAATCTTTGTTTGAAATCGCAGGAAATTGTTATGATTTGCAAAAGTTTTATTTTGCCAAAGTGCGTTGGATCACAGATAGATCTATAAGTTGCATCTTAAACTCATGCCTAAATTTACGAAAACTTGATATTGCGTTTAGTCGTGAAGATATCAAAGATGCTAGTATTTTAATACAAAGATATTTTAATATAGAGTATCTTGACTTTAGTGGGGTTATGGCTTTGCAGAATGATATATTAATTATAGCTATTATCAAACGATCTCTGAATTTAAGACACTTAGAGATCAGTCATAATGATATTGGTGATGAGGTTATTGAAGCATTGGCTTATACATGTCATAAATTAGAGCATCTCGAGCTAAATGGTTGTTCATTTATCAGTGAACTATCAATTTGTAATGTTATACGTTCCTGCCCAAGACTCTAGCATCTCGAACTAGGATACTGTAATATTACCAGTATAACTATCAGAGAAATTGCTTGCTCATGTCTCAATTTAAAATTTCTAGATTTGGATAGGTGTGAAAATATTAGCAAAAAAGCTATGCATCAACTAAATCCAAATATTCATATCGAAAATTTTGATGAAGAGTACTGCTCTGATTCAGAATCTTCTAGCTTTTCATTTTTCAAGCTGAATTATGAGAAAAAAAGGATCACCCACAAATTTTAAGCTTAATAGAATTACCATGTGATACTGAGGAACAGAGCTGGCTCGGGAAATATGGTCATATGGCATTGATACTGATGAGATTAAAATATCTCTTGGCAAAAAAACCGTAAATCAGTTTATGGTTGACTAAATAATCTACCAATTTTTACCGATTTTGAATACTAACATTTTGATAATACACAAACATGCAAACTGAAATAGATTCATTGAGGCAACGTATTACCGAGCTTGAGGTTGAGAAAGCTGAGCTTAAAGTTGAACTTGAGGCCAAGAATTCTGAGATCCCTGAACTTAAAAAGAAGCTTGCTAAGGTTAAAGCTAGGAATGTTGAGATAGAGGTCAGAGATGTGGAGCTTATGAAGCAGATGATAGAAGAGAATAACAGACGTGATGCTAAAATCGAGGACAACACTGAGCTTGAAGCTAGAATTTTAAAACTAGAGCAGGATCAGGCAGAAAGAG